TTTTGGAAATTGTTAAATATTAAATAGGAAAATTATTGGCAATTTTAAATATATTCATAATTTCCATAACTATTTATAAAATTAAATATTTCTTTTTGAAATTTATTAAATTGGAAAATTTTAATAATTTCTATAATTAATTGTTGGTAATTTTCATTGGTTTTTGTTAATTATTAAATAGGAAAGCTATTGGAGAATGTTAGTATTGATAATTTATATTTGGTAATTATTAATAGTTTCCACAATTATTGGTAATTTACATTGGTTTTTGATATTTATTGAAAAATTTTAATCTAGTGATTTCCATAAACTAATTTTCATGTTTTTGGTAATTTAATTTCATGAAAGGTAATTTAAAAAAATCTTATTTACTAAAAACTTAAAAAATTAATAATTAAATATTCATAAATTCAAATTTCTTTTGGAAATTAATTTATTCATATCAATAAATTTTGAAACATTTACTTGTATTAATTCAAAAGTTTATTTATTTTTGTTTGAAAAATAATTTATTCATATCAATATTTGTACTAAGGATTTTTAAGATATTCAAGTTTTTATTTCTATTTTTTATTTTTCATTTCTGCAAAGAACAATAAATAGAGATTTTTTATTAATTTAATTATAAACATCACCTAACAAAGTGTCAAATGATTGGTTGGTAAGGTTTCTTTATGATTATAGTAGAGACTTTGGATCGAATCCAGCTTGCACTAGGGTTGGGGGCTTTATGGGTTTGTGGGATGATTCCCTTGGTTGTGTAGCCCCATGTAGCAATAATTTTTATGCCATTTTTGTAATTTGATCTATGCAAAAAAAAAATCCTTGATATCTTTCAGATTATCAATTAATAATAAAATTAATCAACTTTTTATTTTCTCGTGCATTGCACGGGTCCTATTAATTATAAAAAATAAGGTCATGAAATATGAAGTATATATAAACAATCAAAATAAATGATCCAATTCCAGATCTATTATAACTAGAAATCAAAATTAGGGTGCAAATGGATCGGGACCGGATTCAAACCAGAGTATATCCGAATCCGATCAGACACTATTAAGGGCATATTTGATCCAATCAGATCTAATAAACATGGATTTGAATTCAAATTTGATGAGATAGTTAGATCTTCCGATCTAATCCTATCCCATATGAATTTTTTAAAAATGAAAAAAATATTAAAAGAAAAATAAAATATAACAATTTAAATAAAGAAATACAAAAAATACAAGTATATATTCAACTATTTTAATCATATATATATATACATGTGGTTTATAAATAAATAAATAACATACATATATATGTGTTATATATATTTATATAAATAAATAAATAAGATATATATCAAATCAGATTGGGGTGATCCGAATTCGATCCAATTTCTAATTGTATCTTATTATCTAGTCTGATCCAATCTAAAGATCCAAAATGGGGCTATTTGAATCTAAGAATATAGGATCGGGTTAGATCATGATCTGATCCATTTGCACCATTAAGATTCAAAATGCACATCCAAAACCAACCCTATTAATAGCCGGGACAAAACCATAGATCCAAACCCGATGCAAAATTTGGGTTTAGTATGGGATTATGGGTCTATTGGGATGACACAGACATAAATTCATGGACAAATAAAGTAGTTTGCTGAAAGGAATGAGGAATCGATGAGGGATAGGTGTTGTTTGATTGTGCAGTGTTTGACATCTTACCATGAGATTGGGATCCACCATAAAAGTAGGACCCACCATGTATGAGCATGTTGTGGGAGATCTAGACTCCTATTAAGACTTTGCGTGTGTTTTGTTCTATGGGTGTTTTGTGATAGGCATTTATTAAAGTGCCACCATGTCATCACCAAATCAGCATTTAGCCCATCATGGTGATCCATATGCATAAATACTCACAAAAGGTGACCTTGATTTATGTGCATGCCTACCATTGGGGGAAGCTTCATTTTAACGCTTCCCCCATCGGTTAGTCATTTATTCACTATTCTGCTAATGTGGCACCTATTTGTTATAAGCGATTGACATTATTTCTTTTGTCAGTTTTGAAAACAAATCAATTACAAACGTTTAGTAATAAACGGAAGCTCTACAAACATATACTTTATCAATCCAAAAGGTCCCTCCAACCTCCTCCTCTTTGTACGAACCCCAAAACAGGATTCAACAATATCAAGTTTCTATGCCTTCCTTTTGATGACCCGTCTCTTATTAATGGGTAGTTGGAGGCTAAAACTGGGATGCAACTACTTGCGCATCACTATATATATATAGCTTTCAAAAAAGAAAAAAATGAACTAAACCCAAGTTTTGAGTATGAAAACTGATTTTGTCATCACTAACCCCCCTTCAAAAAAATTTTGTCATCAAGAACACATCCTATGTACTTGTGCATTCTGTGCATATCACGGATAGACAATTGTCCAAAATTAGACATATTCTAACAAGGAAATCAGCTGTGAGGCATCTATCCAGTGCAAGGAATGCCTCCTTTGACAGGACTTTGTGGACCCATATTTTTGAACTGGGAAAAACAACCTGGTGAGTGGGAATTCCTTATTGAAGAATATTTGGACTAAGAATACATCAGATGGTTTAGATCTGTCCCATGCTCAAACACTTTTTTCTGTCATATTTGGAACCGGACTTTCTTGATGAATCTTGTGTTCAGCCAATTGACCAATTTCCTAGCTGTTGAGTCTCCGTGATTTGGGAATTGAGGAATGTGGATGAATCAAGGAGAAGGGCGTCCTGCATGGTTGTTGAGGACGATTTGGAAGAAATCTCTTGGGTAATATATCCACTATTTCCATGTTTCCTTCCCTCAACTAAGCAAGCTAACTGCAAATCAGCTGCTTTATGTAATTTTCATTAACAAAGTGAGTGAAGGTATCTCTATCATAGACACCATCCTAAGTAATTATTTCCATTTGAAGTGTTTGGGGACAGATTGCTTTTAGAGCATTAACTAGAAAGTATAAATTTGATCTTCAATGCAGATTTCTTTTCACAGCTTGACAATGAAGCAGGTTCAGTATGGGAACTTCAACTTCCTCCCAAACCACCAATTATTCAGATGAGATTAAAAAGGTTAGTAGATCAGCTTGTATCTAAAATAATGGAGGGTAAGGGGTGTCTGTTATCAAATTGCTTATTGCAAATAATTCTTCAAGCCAGAGAGAGATGAAGGAGATCAATTCATCGAAGTGTATGTTGGATGGTATGGAAAGCAACCAAAGGTCAATGCTTTTTTTTTTTCTCTGACAAGGGTTTCTTTAGTGTCATGCAACCAACCCTAGGAAGGATTTTCTTTTTTTTTGTTGATAACAAGATCAAGCAGAACGAACTTACATTGAAGGTGGGGTAGCATGGCCCTGAAGGTCTTCAATAAAGGTGTAGTTTAGGACACAGCAGTTGTCCTCACTAATCTGTAGGTCTTCTTTACTTTCTCAACATCTGTTAGCAATGAGATCCACCAACTTAGTCTCCTCTCTGTTCTGATGGCTGGGTCTTACTAGATTATTGATATATCTTGCAATCTTCCTTATCACCGATCTTTGATGATAGGGGCGATCCAAGACCACCTGTTTCTGCACTAGATCGATGCACCACATCAAATTATTCAAATGTCAATGTGAACAGAAAATTTGTATTAAGAAAAAAAAAACTATCAGTTAGTCCTATCTCAAACACATTTTTCCGCCATTTAACAGAAGGAAAATTGTTGCCCTGGATTTTGCTCCTGCCCCAAAATAATATCTAACAGATCCTCATTTCTCACTTGCATTTTCATCTGCAGTTATTAAGAGCACACTTGGGTGCCTATTCCTCATCCTTTTGTGTGAAAAGTTAAAATAGAATTCCCCAAATATAATCTACATGCTAATCAGAGAAAAAGTATATCTGCATATTGTTAAAATACATATATTTGGTAATATTTTAAATAGATAATAGTCCAATACCAGCCAGGAATCCCACTGATTGTACCAACATCCCCAACTTCTCATCCACTGAATGTGGGAAACATGACAAGAAAGAGCCAATTAGTCTGAAAGATGGATGCGTGGGAAAACTACAAAGGATAGGATTAGGAATGAAGTTATCCATAGGAACCTCCAATAGGTGATAAAATGAGAGAGTAGACTAAGATGGTTTGGGCATGTGAATAGAAGATCACCAACTGTGCCAGTTAGAAGAAGTGATTTGTTACACCTTGAAGGGGCTAAGAGCATGGGCTAGACCAAAAAGAACAAGGGTTGAAGCAGTAACAAATCATTTAAGCATTAATAATTTAACAGTGGATATGGCATTGAATAGAAGGGATTGGCAAAACAGGCCTGTAGCAGACCCCATATAGTTGGGATAAGGCATGGATGATGATGATGATACTTGTCTCACTTCCTATAGGTGAAAAATCTCCACTGGGGACACTTAAAGCTTCTTAACTTCAGTTTGTACAAGTGAACTTTCAACTGCAAGAGTTAACAAAACTATAGATTTCTTTGAAGTTTAATGGATGCCTTGATTTCTAGAGTGTGGGTAATTATTTAATGTCTATGTCCATGTCCTGAGAAGTCGAATCCCACGACAAAAGTGGAGGCCAAAATCAGCTACGGTCCATCATACATCTCGACAGGTGATGGTGGGAATGTGAGGACATAAAAACAGACCATTACTCAATGTTCATCTTAGCCATTCACAGACTACAATCCATTTTCTCACACTTATCAGTTTATATCAATTGCCCCAAAAAATAAGGCATTTATTTCCTATTTATTAAAGCGTTCTCCTTAACTGAATCACCGAACCTTTCAACTTCCTAAAATTAACTATGCTTTTAGATAATTTAGGAAATGCACATGCACAATTGATTTGGTACTTGGGATTTGTCTGTGCTGATATTTCTGACAATAAAAGAAGCTTTTGTACTTGTTCATACACTAAATTTTCTGAAACTGTGTAATAGAATTTTTACTCCATACAAGAAAAGAAAAAAAAAAGAATATTTTATTGAGGTTTATAACTTATAAGAAACATCGTGGCATTAAGGAATCATCAATGTGTACAAGAACATGAACAATATATTTTATTGTCTACAGAAGGAAGGAATGCAATATATAATACTATTTAATACATATAAACATGAAGAACAAATACCTGAAGTCATTTCATTGCATTTTACTTCAAAGACGACCCACCACTTGAGATCTGAGAAATGGGTTATCTGAAACTGGTATGCATTTGACAACCCAAGCAATTGGCCAGGACATGGCTGCTATTCCAAAACAGGCACACCATTGCCTCCAATTTAACCTCTCTGTATCTGCAAACTTCTTAAGAAACTCCACCATTATCACTTGAAGAATGATGGTTATGGCCACGATCCCTAGAAAAAGCTTGTTTTTATGTATTCCCTTGAATACATTCTTCTTCTCCAATTTCCTTGCATTGAACTCATTGAAGACTTGGCATAGCACAAATACATTGAAGATCAAGGTGTCCTTGACCTTTTCATTCACCCCGAAGATTGACTCACCCTTGAACTGTAGAGTCAAGAGCATGACTATCTGATATAGAGCTTGAGCCATGAGGTTCCTCCACATGACCTTGGTTATAAGTGGCTTGGTTCGTCCTACAGGTGGCTTCTCCATGAGTTCTTCAGTGGGTCGCTCAGTGGCCAAAGCCAAAGCTCCTAATGTGTCCATGATCAGGTTCACCCATAGCAATTGGACTGCTGTTAGTGGGACCTTTCCGGCAGAAATTGCTGCTACGAAGTTTATCACCAGGGCTGCAACATTGACTGTGAGCTGAAATTGGATGAATTTTTGGATGTTGTTATAAACACATCTACCCCATTTTAGAACAGTGGCAATGGAAGCAAAGTTATCGTCCAAGATCACGATATCTGAGCTTTCTTTGGCAACTTCTGTGCCCTGAATACCCATGGATAATCCAATATCAGCCTCTTTTAAAGCAGGTGCATCATTGGTTCCATCCCCAGTGACTGCAACCACATGGCCCTTTTGCTTCAAGCATTGAACCATCAGCAGTTTGTCCAAGGGAGAAGACCTTGCCATAACACGAATCCTTTCAACCTTCTCTATTCTCTCCTCCTGTGTGTAGTTTCGAAATTCCACACCTTCCACAATTTCCCCATTGTTCATATCTAGATTGGGCTCGAGTATCCCACATTCAATGGCTATCGCCCTTGCAGTAAACACATTGTCTCCGGTGATCATCTTGATGTTCACTCCGGCCTTTCTGCAAGCCTTGATCGCTTCTTGGACCCCTGGTCGACATGGATCTTTTATGCCCACTAGTCCTAGTAAGGTTAGGTTGGTTTCTTCAAGGCTTTGATGAGCTCTCTTATCTGTGTTATCTCTGGATTCTTCATTTGGAATTTGCCTATGGGCGAAAGCAATGCATCGAAGACTCTTCCCTGCCATAGATTGAATTATTTGCTTGAATTTCATCCTATCCTCTTCATGCATGGTTTTCATGCTTCCTGAACTCTCGTAGTAACTTGAGCACATTGCTAATATGATCTCAGCAGCTCCTTTCCAATGCACGTTGATTGTCTTCTCCCCCTTCTTTTTCATTGATATACCGCTTCGTTTCTTCTCTGAATTGAAAGCTTCAACATGCATAATTGTATAGTTTTTCTTCAATTCTTCCATATCCATGTCTAGTTCCAATACAGCCCATGAGAGAACAGCTTTCTCCGTTGGGCTGCCAGAGAACTCTGGGGTTTCCCCTGAAGTTGGTCTAAATACACTACCAGTTGTATTCAGACCTACTCCTTGATGAAATAATTGAAGAACAGTTGGTGCAATTGCAGAAGAGGCAACGTCACTTATTGTTTGCTGACCGAGCCAAAATTCAGTAACCTTCATGTGATTCATTGTGAGTGTACCTGTTTTATCGGTACAGATAGTAGTAGCTGAGCCCATTGTCTCGCAAGCTGAGAGTTTCCGAACCAGGGCTTGATCAACCATCATTCTTTTCATGGAATAGGCAAGAGTAAGTGTGACAGCCAGTGGCAGACCTTCTGGAATAGCCACCACTACAATTGTAACAGCGTCAGCAACAATGCGCACCACTGAGTTTAGCACATCATTGATCTTCGCCTTGGAACCGTTGAACTCCCTATTTCCATTCTCATCTTCTGTATTTCCAGTGAAATAGCGTACGAGTAACACCACAAGGACGAGGAAAGCAACTGCCAAACCAACCTTCCCAATAGATGAAGTCAGCTTATCGAGCCGAGATTGGAGTGGTGTTCGCTCACTAGAATCACGATTTATTGAGTTCATCATCTCGCCCCACCCTGTGTTCATGCCAACGGAGGTAACCAGCATGTGACCATAGCCATCGGCCACCTTGGCCCCAGATATCAGAAATGGGTTTCTGGTTTTATCAACTTCAACATGGTCACTCTCTCCCGTCATGCTTGACTCGTCCACTTGTAAAGAATGACCATCCAAGAACAACCCATCAGCTGGAATTTGATCACCAATCTTCAGACATGCAATGTCTCCAACTACAACGTCGAAGATGGAGATTTGTTGCCGTCGCCCGCCTCTTACAACATCAACCTGGATGTTGTTGCTGATGCTTGATAACTTCTCGAATTGTCTGGATTGCCTGAAGTTACTCCCAGCTGAAACAGAAATTACTAGAAAGACGGCCACAAATATACTCCCACCATCATACCACCCTTCTTTCAGCCCATGCTCTTTGATGCCGAAAGCAAGAGACAGTGTGGCGCAGACCAAGAGGATGAGGATCGTGGTATCCTTAAAAGCTTCCAACACAAAATGTAAGAAGCCTTTTGGAGGTGGTTTGTGGTATGTGTTGGAACCGAAAGCCTCACGCCGGTGGCGGACATCATCATCGTCACCAAGGATTCCATTTTCTGTGTGAGTATCAAGTGCAAGTGCAACCTCTTGGGCTCCTCCATACTCGTGTCGTAGAAGGTCCAAATTCTTATTCTTGACAATTTGGGTGAGCTTTGTTTGGTCGATGGCAGAGAAGGTTGGGGTGGTTTGTTTGATGTCTAGGGTGGTGAAAGAGGGAGAGGATGGTAGGATGGTGATGACGAGTTGGTCCTGTTTCCTGGTAATGACATCTATTGCAAGAGTCACGAGTACTCGAGATGAATAGATAAATGTACGAGCAATGCGCCATCTCTTATGGGATATGGTGAGAGCGGGCGGGAGGCTGTTTTGGGACTGTGAATGGTGAAGCTTTTTGGTGGCAATTGACAAGTAATCAATAAGAGAACCCAATGAACCCAATGCATTTGACACGAATGTCATGAATAAAGGGGAATGTTTAAAATAAAAGGACAAACCAATTCAAGGAAGTGGAATATATAGTGGATATGGCTATTGCGCTGTTAATGTTTGTGGCTTTGTGCGATGAGGTAAATACACTGATCCTGTGATCCATTTATATACTTTTGCTTTGAGCGTATAGGGTTCATTATTAAAATCATTTGTTGGATCCTAAGGCTTGTAAGTTTATGAAGGAGAACGAAGAATCAGGGAAACTATCTGGAATGATCTATGTATCCACTCTCCGTAGCAAGGAATTTACTGAATTAAAAGCAAAGCTGGTCTTTTTGAAGATGACGTGAGAATGCTTCGAAATTTACAAAAGGAAGTGCTGAGAAAGACCTAGATAGGGTCCTTCGTAGAAGGAGCCGAGCCGGTAAGTATAAATTCCAACAATCCAATCTCACTCTGTCTACATGGCAGACATGGGATGTCATTGTTGGTCATGAATCCCCTAACATAATAGCTGACATGGAATGTTATAACTGGTTTCACAACCCCCTCACATAGTCATTGCCGCGTTAAGTTAATCTAATATTCCTTCTTTTGTTGACTGGTCTCAACTACTCTTCCTATCCATTTTCTACCCGCTAGCTCATTGCAGATAGAGAGTGAATAGGAAATCTGGGCTTGTTTCAAGCCAGGTGGTTGGCGCTCAAATCTTAGAGTCCGCCCCATAACGTCCTACAGCACATTCCTGCCAGGAAACATCTCCTGATAATAGTACGATGTCATCATCAAATGTGGTGTGGGACGTGTGGGGCGGAGCCAAATCCTAGAGTCAAGTAAAAGTTAAATAATAGAAACATTCAATTGCATCGTACTTTTGTATTTTTCTTTTAGCTTAATCAAGTTGTCTTGTTGACCCCAGTCCAACTTGAACCCCAAGGCCTGTAAGTGGATAATAGAACGCAGAAATTTGAGGGAAAGTTGTGGGAAGGTGTTAATTCCGTGCGGGAGATGCTGCTTAGAATATAAAGAAGGTTGAGGGGAAGACACTTTTTGTTTTCTAATAATACCCTAAAACACAAGACATTTCTTATTCCTTATAACTCAAGGGCCTCATATTATTATTATAATTATAATAATAATAATTATTATTATTATTAACAAAAATAATTAATTAAATATTCAATTACTCAAATATGTAATTAGTATTTATTTATTTTAATTATTATTTATTTACCGATTTAATTATTTTATTATTTTTTACTTGTAATTAATAATGTTATTAAGAATTAATAATTACTCTAATGATTATTAGTAATTACTGATTATTAATAATTATTATTAATGATTAATTCATTCTTAATTATTATAATAATTATCATTAATTATTAATATTATAATGACTGTTAATTAATAATTCATAATAATTATTATAAATTAATATTATTATTAATCATTATAATAATTTTTAATATTGCTTCTTTATTGAATTACATAAACAAACAAAAATTCTCATATATGGGGTTAAAATGGACATTTGACAATTTTCATAATTCATAACTCAAAGCAACATTCTCTGCCTTCAGAGTTCAAAGGAAAGAAAAATTCACCAATACCAATATACCTCTTAATGTTTTTGACTATGATGTTGGAAAGACATGAGACACAAAATTATAACCAATCAACTAGCCTCAAAGTGGTAACCAATTAGGTGGGTTTTCATCAAAATTCATAGGGATTTTATAGTTTATTGGTCAAAACTTTCTCGTATCATGTCTTTCCAGCATCATAGAAACAAGTATATTGTAATATTGAGAAATGCATTTTGGTAGGCTATATGAATCCTGTTTTCCCATTCTATTCTACTTAATATCATACTAGCAGAGGGGGCCCTGTGTTGTAGGGGCTCACTCATAAACTATCAGGCTCAAGCTCGATTTGAAATAGAGACTTGAGCTTGAGCTCGAACTCAGCTCGAGTCAAAAGCTCGAAAGTTCGAGCTTGGCTACCTTTGATCGTAGGTCTCTTAAGCAGCCGAGGTGTCAAGCCTAGGTCTCCTTTAATTGTCGAGGTGCCAAACCGAAGTCTCCCTCAGCTACTGAAGTGTCAAGTTGAGGTTTCCCTAGCAGGCGAGGTGTTGAGCTAAGGTCTCCCTTAGTTGACAAGGTCCCAAGTTGAGGTCTCTCTCAATTGTCGAGGTGCTAAGCCGAGATCTCCCTCAGTGACCGAGGTGCCGAGCTGAGGTCTCCCTCATTGGTCGAGGTGTCGTCTAGCTCGAGCTCGATTCAAATTAAAGACTTGAGCTTGAGCTCAGAAGTTTGAGCTCGCCTTGGCTTGAACTTGACTACCTTTGATTGTAGGTTCCCTAGCAGCCGAGATGCTGAGTTGAAGTCTCCCTCAGTTGGAGAAAGAGTGGCATTCTTGTAATTTATAAGGAGAGAGAGATGGAATTCTTGTAATTTATAAGAGAGAGAGAGTGGCATTCTTGTAATTTGAAAGAAAAAAGCAAGAGAGAGTGGCATTCTTGTAATTTGAAAGAAAAAAGCAAGAGATAGAGAGAGTTGGTAAGAGAGAGCATGGTTTTCAAAACCAGACTGGACCGGACGGTTTGACTGAAAAAATCAGGAACCGGTCAGGTGATTGGTTTCAGTTTTCTCCAAAATTGGAATTTTGCCTAAAACCATTGATTTTGGTCAACAAACCGCTAACCCGGGTGGTTAACCGTTCGAACCATTCGAACATTTTTGACCGTTTTTTATTTTTCATTTTTTTTGTTAGAATGGGCTGATTGTTCAGTTCAAACGGTCGGACCGTTCGACCTGATAACGGACCACTGACCAGTTCGGCCTTCAGGTCGTTTTTAAAAACCATGAGAGAGTGTGGCATTCTTGTAATTTGAAAGAAAAAACAAAATAGAGAGTTGGTAGAGAGTGACATTCTTATAATTTCTAAGAAAAAGGCAAAAAAATACTATTAAATTCCATTTCCCTCCTTAGGCCTTTTTAGGTACATATTTCAGCTTAATATATTTATATAGATCTATCTTTAATGGTGTGTTCCACAGTATGGTTAGTTTTGTCTTTGAAAACAAAATCAACCCTTAGATCAGCAAAAAAAAAATACAAGAAAGGAAGTGAATGGAATTTTTTTTGGGTAAATTACAAAGACCCCCTGTACTATGGGGTCTGTGACAAAAACCCCCCTGTACTTTATTTTGCGACTAAGACCCCTGTACTATGACAGTGAGACAAAGACCACCTTCTGTTAGCCTTTAAAGTCCTTTTTAATCCCCATATTATCCTTATAATAATTATTTAAATAATTGAAAGAAAAACACTGTTCATCTTCCCAACCTCACGATATACGAACAACAGCGGGGCGGACTTCCGTTGAAGTCTTCCACCCACAACGTTCATCCCCACCGCACTTATTCCCTGTTGTTGAAAACTAGTCAATTCAAATACATTCCTCTTCTCCAGCTCCGAGAATATGCCATGTCCCTTCACATCCACCGTCGTATATGGCTGTAACTTCGTTCCATCATAGCTTCTGTATGTCTGATAATCTGCCAAACACCCAATACGATCTAAATCCTTCGTTGGAAATACTGACACACAACCCATGTTCAGGTCATTGCTCTTAACAACTGGCACTGGTTGCTTCCCTACCTTGTAGGATGGTGCTGAATAATCACCGAATGCTGCTGGATAGTTTGCGAATAGCATAGCAGATTCTGGTTGTGACGAAAGCCCAGTCTGTATTCTGCTGCCATCCCAGAAACCATGACTCCTCGCTGGAAATCTTCCAATCCCGAATAATTGCTATGATCAAGCTTTATTAAAACTGCAGCTCCATCAACCGCATGATTGGAAGTAGACTTCAAGTTCAATGAACTGCTGCCTAGTTTGGATGATGCCCCATTTTCATTGTTCTCTGGAGAACTTGAATTTCGCTTTGAAGCAGGAGACGAATGGCTCGGTATCTCCGAGAATATGCCATGTCCCACAACAGGGAAGCAGGAATGAACGTTGTGGGTGGATGTTCACCACAGCAGGGAAGAAGTGCGGTGGGGATGAAGTGACTAGTTCAACCCAGAAAACCCAGAAGCAGAAGCAGAAGCAGGAATGGAGGTAGCTATTGCAGCTATTGAACTGTAATTTTGGAGCAGTTAGTACAGGGTTGGCATCGGACCCAACTCAAGCTGCCTCCGGTGTCGATGTTCACCCAAAAATCTTGTTTTAGTGTGCCCAGTTCGATTTCTCTCCATCTGCAAAGAACGGAAAACAGAAAAAATTGGAAAGAAGAAAGGGGAGGAGAGAAGGGGGAAGAGGAAGAAGAGAGATATGGGGAGGGAGAAGGAGAGAGAGAGGGAGGACTTCAACTGAAGTCCACCGCCGCTTCTCTTCGTGTACATTAGGTTGGAGAAGATGAACAGTGTTTAAAACTATTAACGATATTGAGCATTATATGCTTGTAACCTTCTTGATTTGCTTTTTTCGAATCCCTTTGATGACTTCCTTTGAGATGCAGCGACAGTTCCTACTGCAAATACTAGGTGATTAGTGTGAGTGGCTATGGCAAAAGTTGCACTTGCACGAGGAAGGGGGGACCGAATGGGGTAATGTGTCATGTAAAACAATCTCCCAAGCAATAAGATTCCTCACAATTAAAAACTCTGCATACATTCTGAAAGAATGGGAATCCAACCATATATTGGAGATATTTCCCAATTTCAACATATATTGTATGGAAGATATTTTCAATGTGTGGCTGCATGTTATGTGAACAGAATTTTTGTGTATGATGTTGTCTTTTAAAATAAGAACAACTGTCACATCAGCAAAATCATATTGTGTTCAGGGATGTGGAAATTCAGATTTTTCAATTAATTTTATTTTGTGGGGGTTTATAAATTAAGCAAAACCAAACATACTGAGTAACACAACCTGAGACGGGCCCGGTCAGGTCCAATATATGAGTTTATTACAGATAGATCAGGTCCAATCCAATCCAATGAATACTCTGGACCATTTTGGCCCAGTCCAATTCAATGTGTGGACTGTTCAATCTATTCAAATTGATTTTAAGTTAGATTGGTTCAATCCAAACTTGATTCATTGACACTTGTATTCTTATCTTCTACCAACCAAAACTGTTCCACTGACGCTCCTAAGCTATATGTTTTCAAATTCAAACCACTTTAATTTAATTGTCTTACAAGCTGAGAGTATTCAAAACATTGTTTTACCAGCAACCATTCTTCTCATGGAAGGCAAACAACCTGTTGGTAATGGTAATGAAGCGCAACACGCCTCACAATATTTTATGGCAGCCAGGAGAGAAGAAACACAATTACTTGTTCCTGGATCACAGAATCAGTCTTTCTTTCTTTCTTTCTGGGGCTACTAAATGAATTCAAAACAAAAAGCACCTATAATTAAATCAATTGAATGGAAAACACTAATTAATACATTTATAACAGATTAATAGTTGCGTTGCCCTTATCCAACAATGTCATCCAGAAGTCGGAACTTTCACTGCAAATGCCAGACGGAAGTTAGAATTCAAACTGATGACAAAAATCATAATTAAATATCAGGGTCTGGTTGAGTTTTTGTCATTGTAAAGTGAATGAAAATTTCTAAGCTCAATCTTCTTAAACTGGTTAATGAAAACAATTTTAGTTTTTATAAAGCAGAACAGAATCTGCACGCAAATGAGAAAAGAACTGGGTCAATGAGCCAACTTCTTCAAATGAACATTACATTACAATTGCTTTTTCATGACGAGGAGTTTTTTAAATTTGAAATCATTTCTATTTCTATATATGTTTCACCTACCGAAGGAGCAAAAAGAGCTCGCCTTTCAACAATAGCATTGGAATTTGGAAGGTGGGGATGGGGAACCAGGACAAAGAGTCAGAATTGATCGAGGCTTTCTTTTATGGGCTTTCAATATTTGCTTCATATCATTTTGTTATTAGAATTTACAAATGGGCTTCTCCCCAATCCAACAAATGATCTTCAATATGGACTACCCACTGTAAGACATGAATGGATATTGCATACAAAACATCACTCCTAAGCCAAATAAGAAAGCTATGCAAATTGTGATAGGTACCTAAAATATCTCTCTCTCTCTCTCTCTCTCTCTATATATATAACAGATATACACAAAAGAATGAATCATGAAAATGAATCAATGTAAGAGAATTTTGAGGGTCAATGACTTGTGAAGGCTAAGGAATGGCCTGTCTGGAACCGGTATGCACTTGACCGCCCAACCGATCGGCCAAGAGACTGCTGCTATGCCAATACAAGCACCCCATTGGCCCCAATTCAACCTCTCTGTATCTGCAAACTTCTTCAAAAACTCTACCATCACTACCTGAAGCACAATTGTCACCCCCACGATCCCCAAGAATAACCTATTCTTGTGGATCCCTTTGAACACATTCCTCTTCTCCAACTTCCTCGCATTGAACTCGTTGAAGACTTGGCATAACACGAATGTATTGAAGATAAGAGTGTCGTTAACTTTGTTGGTTACTCCGAATATAGACTCACCTTTGAACTGCAGAGTCAGTAGAACGGCTATTTGGTATAGGGCTTGAGCAATGAGGTTCCTCCACATGACATTGGTTATTAGTGGTTCAGTCCTTCCCACCGGTGGCTTCTCCATGAGTTCCTCTGTGGGTCGTTCCGTGGCTAATGCTAAAGCCCCTAATGTGTCCATGATCAAATTCACCCATAACAATTGCACTGCAGATAATGGCACTTCACCTGCAGAAACCGCTGCAACAAAATTGATCACCAAAGCTGCAACATTCACAGTAAGTTGGAATTGAATGAACTTTTGGATGTTGTTGTAAACGCATCTCCCCCACTTCAAAACCGTGGCCACCGAAGCAAAGTTGTCATCCAATATGACAATATCTGAACTCTCCTTGGCCACTTCGGTTCCTTGAATGCCCATCGAGAGTCCAATATCAGCCTCCTTCAAAGCCGGTGCATCGTTTGTGCCGTCTCCGGTGACTGCAACCACATGGCCTTTCTGTTTTAAGCATTGAACCATCAACAGTTTGTCAAGGGGAGAGGACCGAGCCATCACTCGGATTTTGTCAACTTTCTCCATCCTCTGTTCCGGTGTGTAGTTTCGAAATTCTACACCTTCCACGATCTCTCCACTTTTAATGACCTCAATGGATGGGAGTATCCCACATTCAATGGCTATGGCCCTTGCAGTGAAAACATTATCTCCGGTAATCATTTTGATGTTCACTCCAGCCTTTCTACAGGCTTCCACCGCCTGTCTAACCCCTGGTCGGCATGGGTCTTTTATACCTACTAAGCCTAACAAGGTCAGGCCATCTTCATCAAGGCTTTGTTGCGCTCTTTCATCTCCAGGAATTTGCTTGTGTGCGAAGGCAATGCATCGGAGGCTGTTCTCTGCCATGTGTTTGATTGTTTGCTCGATACTCATCCTAGCATCCTCATCCAAGGTTTTCTTAGTACCTGTGTTCTCATAGTAGTCCGAACACATCCCAAGTATCATCTCAGGGGCCCCCTTCCAATGCATATGGATCGTCTCTTCACCATTCTTTCTCATTGAAATGCCACTTCGTTTCTTTTCCGAATTAAAGGCTTCGACATGAAAAACAGTGCAGCTCTTCTTCACCTTCTGCATATCCATGCCCAGCTCCAATACAGACCATGATAGAATAGCTTTCTCAGTTGGGCTCCCAGAGAATTCAGGAACTGCACTTGAAGCGGGTTTGTAAATGCTACCAGTAGTGTTCAAACCAACACCATGATGAAGCAATTCAAGAACAACCGGGGAGATTGCAGACAAAGAATAATCCACCATGACTTCTTTACCGAGCCAAAATTGAGTGACCTTCATCTGGTTCATTGTGAGCGTACCTGTTTTATCAGTACAGATGGTGGTGGCCGAGCCCATTGTCTCGCACGCTGAGAGTTTTCGCACCATTGCTTGGTCACCCATCATTCTCTTCATGGAATAAGCAAGAGTGAGTGTGACGGCTAACGGCAAGCCTTCGGGAATTGCCACCACTACAATAGTAACAGCATCTGAGACCATTCGCACTACTTCATTCATGACGTCGTTGAACTTTGTCTTGCCGCCATTGAATTCCTGAATTCCATTTTCGTCTTGTGTGTTTCCTGTGAAGTAGCGAACCAACAATACGACGAGCACGAGGAAAGCAACTGTCAAACCCACCTTCCCTATAGACGAGGTTAGTTTGTCTAGCCGAACTTGCAATGGTGTGCGCTCGTTGGAGTCATGGTTAATGGAGCTCATCATTTCACCCCATGTGGTGTTCATGCCTACAGAAGTGACTAGCATCCGACCATACCCATCAGCAACACAAAGTGTATCACTAATATCTTTGATCCATCAAGGCCACAAGATTTCCTTTTAATATCTGGCACTAAGGTAACTTCTTAAGTCCTAACCCAAGGTCAGGCCAATCAGATGTACCGAGACCATTCAAATCTGTATCATTCTTTTATACAGTTGGGGTAAGTTCTCATGTGTATTTGCTGAACAAGGGCTACTTTTGTTTTGCAGATGCGAACACTTGCAAAGAACAGAGAGAACCCACCGGATGGCTTCATGTGCCCTGGTGGATGGAAAGTCTTGGTGGAATACTATGACAGTTTGGTTTCATCTGATAATAGAAAACTCCCTCAATCTGTCCCAGCTTAACCATTTGCACTCTCATGTACTGTCATCTGTTTGCGAAAACCCTAAAACTTATTTACTTCCTGTGCAGTTTGTTCAAAGTTTCATGCTTGTAAGATTATCTCTGTTCAGATTTCACATAAAGCATCCAAGGCACTGGCACAGAGAGAGACATTACATAAAGCTAGCCTTGGTCTGTAAATAGTATGCAGTCCTTTCCACACCTTGAAGTGACACAAGTAAGCATTCTATAGTATATTGCTTCTCTGCWATTTTGAAGGACAAAATCAGTAGAGTGCCTTCAAATCATTGTGGCCTGTAGATGTCAACTGTATTTTTGCCCTACAGCAATTTTTGAAGGATCTCACGTATTGCTATTTTGTTGGTCCAAACAACCTTCTTAGTCAATGAAAATAAAGAACTATAAACCTATGGGGTTGTTTGGATAAACTTTTGATCGGCATGAAATGCAAAATGCATTACCAACTTGGAAAACGAATGTAATGGAGTTCCCCCTTTCTTCAATTTATTTTTCTGAATTGGAATATACAAAATTTCACTCTGCTTTGTAAAGCATATTCTCATGGATGCATTACCAAATTTGCTTTCTGAGTTTTTTTCCTATCAAAATTTTCTGATAGAATGGTGGAACGGTGCTTGATTGTACTTAATTGACCATGGAAAACACATTGATTCCAAATAAGGAAAAAAATAGCAACCTCAGCCAGTTAGCTTTGTAGGGAAATGTCATTCCTTATAATTTCTAAGAGTAGGGTCTGCCTTTGGATTCAATTCTTGTGATATTCATATACTTAACCATGTAACTTGCTTTTCAAGTTACAGGAGGTACCTATAAAAAAGTAGTMAAATACAGGAAAATTAGGAAATGATCTGTTTTCCTATTGACCATGAAAAACACATTGTTCCAGCAMCCTCATCCAGCCATTATGTTGGAAAAAATAGAGAAGTAAAACCTAGAAAATGTTTAAATAGGAGACAATTCGATTCTCTTGTTGGAGCTAACTCGCTAAGCGGTAGGAGATTGTTGGTTTCAGGCTTTCGGCTGCTTCTCTCATATTCCGGTTTGTAGAATCAAGATTCAGGTGGGACTGTAAAAATGCCAACCCAAACCATGGCTTTAATTAATATTGTTAGCTAAACATGATGAAAAAAAGTACAGAAGCCATTATCCATATTCAAAACGACATTTGTTCAAGAATTTGGGGACAAAAACTGGGGTTGAGAAAACAGAAAACTTACCTCAAGGAAATGATCACATTGGGTTAAAAGAAATGTAGATTTATGATCTATCGCATACTCAGATAATATAAGCTTGTAGACAAATATTCTCGTTAATTAATTGTTTATATACATGTATAAAAGGATGGAAGCTATAGTAAGAAAAGCCATAACTTAGGAATTCTGTGATTGGAGTCATTATTCTAAACCTTGGAGAAAATCAGAAAGGCATATTCACTATGGCAACAATTGTTTGTGGTGATCTACCCCAAGGCAGAAATTACTGGTTTACTATAAAAATGGGAAAGTTAAAACAATCAGGAAGAAATTAAGGCTAGCAGTCGACAAAACTTCTGTGAAGAGGAGTAATTCCTTCATGTGAGAAGAAAAATATGGCTTCTGAAAGTGCAGAATTTTCTGGTTGATATGGAATTTCTAAAACAGAAAAAGCCCTCAAGATCAATGCCTGAGATTAGTTGCCCATCAAATTTATCTCATCCTAATYCCATGAAATTTCCTTGTTAGAGTCAACCTCTAAGTCTCTAACAAGTTCACATATCCTCACAAGCTCACATGTATCAACCCAGTATTTGTTTTATAGAATAAAAATAAAAAATAATCCTAAAGTTGAAAAAAAAACAACAAGAATTATATCCGGTTGAGACCTTGTAGGTTGTTGTTTTTAGTAAGGTTCCCTCTCATGCCCAAAATGCTATCTGCCAAGTCACAGAATACCATATCCAGAAACAAGATTCACTTGTACATTTTTGGGAGAAACAATACTTTGCATTTGGCAAATATTTATCACATTTAAACCTCTTATTCTGTATGCATAGCTGATAGCCCAGTTATGGTTCAAAATATCAGCAACACAAAGTGTATCACTAAGGTAAGAAATGGATACGTGTCATGATACACTTGGAATGCACATGAATAGAGTGGAAAGATCTGTATATGCCCAGAACCCACAAATCTATAAATAACATAAATATAAGGTTGAAGTAAATATGAATAAGGTGAAAAAAAGTTTCATCAATCAGAGGCCCTTTCAAGAGTAGGGGTGACATCAAGGGGTGATTGGCGAGAGTAGGGCGATGCTACACTAGTTAACCTTGAAATAGATTCTCATGTGGTTGTTTAAACTTTTCTAAATCCCTTAACAATCCTTTTTCCAATGATTTTTTAGAGGTTTTTTTTTCCAATTTTCATTTGTTATTGGTTTTAGTTGATATTAATTGCACATTGTGTTTGTTGCAATTCTAGGTTTTCATAGAAGTTTTTCTTTCTTTTTTTTTGCAATTTCTATTTTATAGAAATTTTTTAAGAGGGTATTTTGGTAAATTAACTTCTTCTGTTACTCAACTTAACAGAGAGGGGGTCTGTCAAAATCTCAAAATTCAAGGGATCTTTGTCGCAAATGAAAGTTAAGGAGGCTAATTCCCAGTACCACTCCCAAAGTATGATATACCCAAAAAAAWTTTTTTTTGGTTGATATGAAATGGGTTCAWGTTGGGCCCGAGGCCCAACAGATCCAATCCCACAATATATTGTGATATCAATTTTTGTTTGTATGCACATAGTTATAGACCGGGATCACCTATTTATACAAACTTGTATGAACTGAATTTACAGACTTCAGAACCGTTTGTTGCTCTAATGGTTTGGTTTGGTCCTTCAACCTTGACTTGTGCTGGGTACTCATTGAGCTTTTATATGAAGATCTGTACAGCCCGAAGCTAGTTTAGCAGTATCATGTCTTTCTGTACATTTTTCTGTGTCTTTCCATATGAGAATAAAATGCGAAAGACGCGAAAAGCTTTAGTAGACGCCAAAATGGGCTTTTCAGGTCTTTTTGGTGCTCCGGCTTTTGACGATTAGATCTTCTGTGAACCAAGCTGGAATAGACCAAAAATCAGTCTGCCCAACTTATAAACAGTTGAAAGACCCTACAGAAAGACGTGCCAAACAAACCCTTAATTTCCTTTCACAGTTTCACTGCCAATATAATATCAAAAAACATACGTGGCGGTAGCGACTGGAGGTCAACGTACCAAGACTCTCAAGTCATCCAAATTGGCTCAGGCCTCAGCGCGCGATGGACAGCCACAGAACAGTTATTAGAGGAATCCGGCCAGTGAGAGAGATTTCCAGTCTTGCAAATGATTTCCACTTCTTCTTGATGGAATTGCCAGAGGGAAATAGTTGTAGTAGAGTCAGTGGGTGAGACTGTGTGCCGGAGCAGCAGCAAGCTAGCAACTAGCCTCCGGTAGAAGAATGTGGTGGTTACTGGTAAGTGAAAACTTTCACCGGAGCTTAGTCCGTCGTCTGTTTCTCTACTATTTCCTTTACTCGTGTACTTTTTCCGACAACTCTTTTATAAAGTATCAACTACCATACGGCGTATATACGGGATATGCTTTAATTTTCAGTTTTCATATGTATATTTCCTCTTTGACATGAAAAAGGAAGCTCCCTGGCCTAATTATAAAGGGCATTTCCTTTTAAATATCATATATAGTGCTTAATTTGCAATTCAGTTTGATAAAAACCTGTTTTGAAATTGGGAGAATTTCCCTGAAGAACCAAAAGGAGAATTTGGCTCTGGATCTGTTCATGGTTTTTGTTTGTTTCAAGGAATTGGGTGATTATGGTTTTAAGTATTTGAACATGTTATTTTCGGTTCTCTTTCCAGTAAGATAAGATTGTACCATGATATAGTCATCAATGGATTATTTTGATTACTTGGATGAAGATAAATATGGTTCTATTTGCAGTTCCATTCCTAATAACTTCATGTGTAGGATCGCCTGAGATTCTCAAACATTTGAGAGTACATCCATATATGAAAAGGTGGTGTCAAATATTCTATGGATGAGATCAGTGAAGGATGCAATCCAAACACCAAAATCCAAATCCGTTTGCCGACCCCCTTTTGGGTATTATTTACACCATTTTTTTTAACAAGACGAACGAAGGCTGAAAGAACAACGCAACCCTGATCTACAAACCTTTCTACCCTGCTGTGCATTCCAATATTTCTTTTAGGCTTCCTTTTCATGAGAAGCATCATCTCGGGTATTGTAGAACAGTTTAGCAACTGGGATGCATTTGACGGCCCAATCAATCGGCCAGGACAAAGCTGCAAGTCCGATGCATAAAACCCATTGCTCCAAATTCAATCTCTTAGTGTTGGCGAAGCTATTCAGGAACTCCACCATCACCACTTGAAGAACAACAGTTATCATCACAATGCCAAGGAAAAATTGGTTCTCTTCGTGTATCCCTCCGAGTACGTTCTTCTTCTCTAGCTTCCTTGCATTGAAAAGATTAAAGATTTGGCAGAGGACAAAAGTATTGAACATCAGGGTGTCGTTGATCTCCTCACTCACCTCAAAGATAGAGCTTCCACTGAAATGTAGCACCATCAAGACTGCCACCTGATACAGAGCCTGACCAATGAGGTTCCTATACATGAAGCCATTGATAAGATCAGACTTGCTTCGACCTACTGGAGGCTTTTCCATGAGCTCCTCGGTAGGCTGCTCTGCAGCTAGTGCCAAGGCACCGAATACATCCATGATCAGGTTCACCCACAGTAGCTGGATTGCCGTTAAAGGGACTCTGCTAGAAGAAACAGCTGCAATGAAGTTGATCACTAGGGTAGCAACATTCACTGTGAG